ATCTCAATTTATTGGGTTGCATTGGTTGTACAAATACGACGGGTTGTATTTGAAACAAACTCTCTCTCTCTCTCTCTCTCTCTATATATATATATATATATATATAATGTTAAAATTGATCGAGCGGATGCAGAAGACTTTGTTGGAGCTTTCGTAGGTCCGCCCCTAATGATATCACCTTAATATTAGAAAATATCTAGAGGCTAAACGAGGATAATTTAGTATCTTGAGTAAACTAAGATTATTTACTATCTTTTAACTGTTTAATATTTGAGAACGTAATGTCCACATAATATTAAATCAATAATCATAAAACCTTAATTAAACAGGTCACTGTTGTCTCACATTCTTTGTATCTCAATATGTTTTCTTCATTAGAGGTGATCATTTGCGGCCATGGGCTGGACAACGGGTCCAATGGGCCTTATATAACAAAACCTAGTCATTGTTTTTGCAGGTTTGATTAGTTTCCCTTAGCCTCTTACTTGTCGTACAAACGGGCTAGACTTGCCGCTAGGCTAAACGGGCCTAAAAAGCTTTATACCTTTAACATTTGCTTTATTTTTCACAAGTTAAAGAAGAAACGAAGGTGGATTTTTTATCGATCAATATTATTTGATATCTTTTGTCTACCAATTTAACATCTTAGTATGGGCATAACACATACCTGAACGATTGAACCCGTCGTTTACGAAAATGCCCTCAAGGTGGACCTTTTATTTCTCGGTGCTACCATTACTTTATGAGTTATTTTTTTAGGATGATTGAAACTGATGATATTCGATCTTTTTTATAGGCAAAGAGATGATTGAAAAACCCTAATCGATTTGATTTGAATCTTCGAATATATTTAGATGATTTAGGAGCCGTTTACTAAATGTTTATTCAGTAATTGCTTACCGGTAAAAGCCACACTCCTATTTACCTTGTTGGGTAACATTCTTGATCATTAAAACAAGTTGTTGGTAAATTGATCGGATAAGTGTTCCTCCTTACTTACTTATTGGGTAAGATTCTCGGTTTTTGGTATGCCTTTTACATTGTAAGATTCTCATTCATTTGATAAGTACTCATCTTGTAAGATAAATAAAAAAACCATAAGGGTTGTGGCGTAATGTTTGAATTATGGGAGATGTGGTGGAATATTTCATTTGCCCTGGATTCGATTTGAGACGTCCATAACAATTGTGATCACTGAATTTATCAAAACTGGTGTCTTAAAATTGCAATTTACTGGGACTAGTCTATACATAATTTTTAAGATAAATAGAGAATATATATATATATATATATATATATCAATGGTGCAAGAAGAAGATATAATATGCTAAAGTTTATTGAAAAAGATAAATAGGAAGAAAAGGATATGTATTTATGTATGAGATATGTGGAGTGAGGCCCAGAAAGCAACAAATCAGAGTTTGTGGATATGAGATGAAGAAAATAGCAAGTGTGGGTTTCTTCCAAATTAACCATCATCCAAAATCAGTCACTATTCGCTATAAAAGGAAATATATATATATATATATATATATATATATATATATATATATATAGTTTGTTTCAAATGCAATCCATCGCATTTGTACAACTAATTCAACCTAATAAATTGAAATATTATGTAAATAATAAGAGTTCATTTATTATGATTTAAATATTTATAGAAAATAAATAAGGTTCATTAATTATGATCAATACTTTATATTAGGAAACAATCAAAACTTTTATAAAATTACATATTAATTAAATTAAATGGACGGTTGAGACCTCTCTCTCTCTCTCTCTCTATATATATATATATATATATATATAGAGGGTTGGGTTCATATGAGACCAATGGTATTTCATGAGACCCATAAGACCAATTTATGTTCATTGATCAACTTTATAAGCTAATGATCTAATGGTCTAAAGTTGTGCGGTGACAATTTTGTGATTATTGAGAAGTCTCGTGACATATTTGTGATTATAAATGTTCAGATTGTAGATTTAATTCAAAGGTTGAGAATTGGTCTTACGGGTCTCACGGAAAACCCTTGGTCTCACATGATTCAAAGTCTATATATATAAGAGTCCATTCAAGGAAACACTAAGTTGTTTGTGGTAACCGTGAGTTCCAATCTCAACCACACAAATTAATAGTCAATGGTTGAAAATAAAAGAATAATTAATTACTGAAATTACGATGTTGATACTACATGGGGTTCTCTGATGGTTCACAATCTATTCCCTCTCGAATTCAACCCTTATTGTTCCACTGGTTCACCACGCTTTTATTGTTGGTTCCTAACACTGAACACCGCTTGTTCCTGTTAATAAATGTTATATATATATATATATATATATATATATATATATATATTTTAATTTAAAAGATTTCTCTGCTCCTTTTTTTTCTCTTTCTCAATTTTAGAAAAAAAAATTAAAATAATATTTAACAAAGAAAGTGAATATTGGAAAGAGATATAAGATTCAAAGATGTTTTTAAAATAAAACTCTAAAATAATAAATTAATTTCCATTTTAAAAAAAATGGAATTATTCTAAAAACTTTATATGGGATAGATTTATATTCCTTAAGCAACACGTGCCATTATGTTATATATCCCATTTTAGATAAAAATTGAATTGCTTATCACCACCGCACTCTTCCACCACCCACCTCCCTTTCTCTCGGCGCTATGGCTCTAACTCCGGCCACCACCTTCCTCCCTAAACACAACCAACCACCACCCTTCCACCACCTCCGTTCATCTCCCACAACCATCAATTGTACCTCCTCACCACCCACCATCACCACCACCACCACTAACAACAACAACGGCCACTCGATTCCATCTCCTCTGCCATTCTCCGCCAAATACGTCCCCTTCAACTCCGACACCGATGAATCCTACTCACTTGATGAAATCATCTACCGAAGTAGCTCCGGCGGACTGTTGGACGTTCAACACGACATCACCTCCCTGAAACAGTTCGACGGGAAGTATTGGCGGTCACTTTTTGATTCACGTGTCGGCCGGAACGCATGGCCGTACGGGTCCGGCGTATGGTCGAAAAAGGAATGGGTGTTGCCGGAAATTGATAACGACGATATCGTAAGCTGTTTTGAAGGTAATTCCAATCTCTTCTGGGCGGAGAGATTTGGGAAACAAAATCTCGACGGAATGAATGATTTATGGGTGAAACACTGCGGTATAAGCCACACCGGAAGTTTCAAGGATTTAGGGATGACGGTGCTCGTCAGCCAAGTCAATCGGCTCCGGAAAATGAATAAACCGTTGGTCGGCGTCGGCTGTGCATCCACCGGAGACACATCCGCCGCCCTCTCCGCCTACTGCGCCGCCGCCGGAATCCCGTCGATTGTGTTTTTACCGGCGAATAAGATCTCATTGGCGCAATTAGTTCAACCGATTGCAAATGGAGCGTTTGTATTGAGTTTAGATACAGATTTCGATGGTTGCATGAAGCTAATTCGAGAAATTACTTCTGAATTACCCATTTATTTGGCGAATTCGTTGAATTCGTTGCGATTAGAAGGTCAGAAGACGGCGGCGATCGAGATTTTGCAGCAGTTTAATTGGGAGGTTCCCGATTGGGTGATAATTCCCGGCGGAAATTTGGGGAACATTTACGCATTTTACAAAGGTTTCAAAATGTGTCAAGAACTAGGGTTAGTCGATAGAATTCCACGGCTCGTTTGCGCTCAATCTGCAAATGCAAATCCGCTTTATCTCCATTACAAATCCGGCTGGAAGAATTTTACGCCGGTGAAAGCCACCACCACATTCGCTTCCGCTATCCAAATTGGAGATCCTGTTTCAATCGACAGAGCTGTGTATGCTTTGAGTAACTCCGACGGAATAGTTGAGGAGGCGACGGAGGAGGAGTTGATGGACGCCATGGCAGTGGCGGATTCGACCGGAATGTTTATTTGTCCTCATACAGGGGTGGCGCTGGTGGCTCTGATGAAGCTCCGGGAGAGAGGTGTGATCGGAAAAACGGATCGCACAGTGGTGGTTAGTACTGCGCATGGATTGAAGTTTACTCAGGCGAAGATTGATTATCATTCGAAGGCGATTGAAGGAATGGAATCGAGGTTTGCGAATTCGCCGGTGGAGGTGACGGCGGAGTACGGTGCCGTCATGGATGTTCTTAAGAAGTTTCTTACGAAGGTTTCATAGGAGTGGATTGGAGATTGTACAAGTGGTAATGCAATATGTACAAGTAAAAGAAGCAGGATGGTTGGTACTTAGTAAAACTTTATTTTATGTGGTAGCTTATAACCGAATAACCGATTATAAAACGGAAATTGACTAAAATTGTCGATTTGATTTGTTTAGTCAAACTTTGTTTTTAGTCATTTTTAAGAGAATTTTAGGGTTGTTTACCTCTTAATAATTTCATTAAGAGGTAACATCTGAATCGTTAAAAGGTTAATCATGTTTGGCAAAAAAAAAGGTCTGTCTCTTAATAGCTCTAAAACCCTCTGAATGATTTTGTATCATGGATTTCCCTTAACCAGTAAGAGCCCAAATTTCATTGTATACAATTACCAAAGAATAATATTTCATTTTGCACTGTATCATGAGAGCCTCCTAATTATTCTGACCAATTAATCATTCTGCATCAAACCATTCAGCAATTGCCAAATAGCCTCTTAGGGGTTATTTGTTTACCTCTTAATAGTTTCATTAAGAGCCAGCATCTGAATCATTAAGAGTCGAATCTTGTTTGGTAAAAAAAAAAAGTCTGCCTTTTAATGGTTCTAAAACCTTGTGAATGATTTTGTATCATGAGCTTCCCTGAACCATTAAGTGTCCTGATTTCATTGTAAACAATTGCCAAATAATTATATTTCATTTTGTACTATATCATGAAAGTCTCTTAATCATTCTGACCACTTAATCATTCTGTACCACACCATTCAGCAACTGCCAAACAATCTTTTAATCTTAATCAGAGTTTATGCAAATGTCTTAACGTAAATTAAAAAAGAAGAGGAAAAAAATCTTTACACAAATTTACGTAAAGATTGATATTTGTGTAACGATCCCGATTTGCAGTCGTTATCCTTCTCATTTACTTTATGCAGTAATATTCCCAACTGAAAAAAATAGATTGATGGTAAGTGTTTATTAATCAGCAAATGTTTACTGGGTAAAACTCATCACCCTTACTTACCAGGTAACAATATCGATCTTGTCTTCCAGTCTTTTCAGGTAAGTTTCTTGGTCACTGTTATGTTCATCCAGCAGTGTAATTGAATCGGTAACAGGCTTATCGATGTCAGGATTTAGTACACGACTCTCGTTCATTAAACATTTCATAAATCTTAAAGTAAATAGAATCCTCGTCATAAAGTAAATAGAATCCTCATCATAAAATATTACAAAATTAACGCGTTACCAATTAAATGAGCACAAAATAGAATATTTTATTAATTGAAAAAATAATTATTCGTTATATATATTAAATAAAAATTAAAACAAACTTTATTATAATTGATCCAAAATTAAATGAGTATGGTTATACTATACCAAATAAACGTGATCGAAAATATAGTGGGTTTTATATTTTTTAAATTATTTTTATTTAAAATTTTATTTGATATTACAAATGGTGATCGATGGAGACAATACGGATTCCTTAACCAAGAGTGGTTTTGAGTGGCTAACAAGAATTTTAACAGTTGCTGAATAGTTTGATATAAAATGATTAAATAGTCGGAATTAAAATGTTCTTATAATACAGTGCAAGATGTAATATAATTGTTTGGTAATTATTCATAATGAAATTAGAGTGCTGAATGGTTAAGGGAGACCCAAGATACAAAAACATTCAAGGGGTTTTAAAACCATTAAGAGACAAACTTTTTTTTTGCTAAACAAGATTCACTTATTAGCGATTCAGATGTTGCATCTTAATGAAATTATTAAGTGATAGATAAACAACCCCTAAGTTTTCTAGAGAAAAAGACAAAAAAAAAAAAAAACCCAAGAAATTAAAAACAAAAATTAAATCTGATACTCGAAACAAGATGCTTATTGATTGGGTTTTCTGATCCTTCGTTCACGGTATTTTGCTAAATTATTATGTGCATTATTTGTATGATAAGAGAAAAGTTGTTGTAAGATTGAGTTGAATGACCATTTCACTTATTCAAATTGTTTTTTAATCATTTTTCTTCCGGATTGAGCTAAATGTCAGTACTTCCGCAATATACAGGTCTACAACATTGCAGACCTAGCTTAAGACAAAAAAAAACTGAAACTGAACACAGATATTCAATTGCGACAACCAGATATGCAATTGCGACGGTAAACTGGTTGAATATGACCCTCATCTTTGTCTTTTCGTTATTGCGGATCTGGATATTTGTGGATGTAGTGACATTTGGATTAAACCGAAAGAGAAATGGTAAGAAAACCAATTTGGATGAGGGAAATGGTCCATTGAGCTAAATTCTCATAAAAAATCAGCTATCTCAAAACGACGTGTCTTATTCTTGTCCAGTAATAGAAACCACGTATTTCAAGACAAATAAGAATTTTATTTATTTTAAATTTATTTAATTCATGTTCACTTTCTTTCGTTATTTATATGATTACTTGATAAGAATAGACGTGAAAATTTAGTACGTGTGATTTTTATCAAGGATGCTTAAGCTATTAAGCACATTATTTCCTTTCTAAGGGGCTGTTTGGCAGTTGCTGAATGGTTTGGTGCAGAATGGCTAAGTGGTCAAAATGATTAAGAGGGTCAGAATGGTTAAGTGTTGAATGAAATAATGTTGTTTGCTAACTGTTCTCTGAATGAGAGTAAATTACCATTTTAACCCTTTGTGCATAAACCCATAATTTCAACATACAGTGTGCATAAACCCATGAAATTGAAGTGCACATACAGCAGGCTTGTGAATCAATAACAATGGGGTATAACCAGGCTTGATAATCAATAACAATGGGTATAAGTTTCCTGAAATTTATGTTTGTTTCCTGGTATTTCAAGATCTGTTGTTTCAAGATACAGTATAACAATGGGCAGAATAATACCTGAAGCGAGGAAAAGGATGGAGTCGACTGGAGACGAGCGGCGACGTGGAGCGGTGACGAGAGGCGGCGACTTGCGGCGGCGACGAGCGGCGACGTGGAGCGGCAACGTGCAGCGGTGACGAGAGGCGGCGACTTGCGGCGGCGACGAAAGGCCACGACGACAGATGGAGATGACATACGGCCTTGGAAGAAGCCGACGTGAGACTGCTGGAAGAAGAAGACCGACCGACGATCGTAGGGTGGGGGTGGCGATTTGCAGACTGGCGACGAGAGGAAGGAGAGGGTGGGGGGAGGAGCTGTGAGCGACGTGTAAGGAAGGAGAGGGTAAAATTGGAAAAAGAACGATCTGAATGGTTGAGTGAGGTAGTAGATGCAAAATGGTTAAGAGGTTATTGTAACCATTAAGAGGGTTGTTTTTTTTTGCCAAACAGACCTAACCTCTTACCGATTAAGAGGTTGGCTCTTAATGTAACCATTAAGAGCCAAACAAACAGCCCCTAAGTCATTTCTTTATGGACATTTGAGTTTCTATGCTTGATATACCCCCTTTTAGTAAAAATATATTCTACTTCCATAATATTACATTAATATACTTATTTTCTTATCATAAAAATACCATCCCCTTGCTCCTTCCCTCCCTTGTCACATGCCAAAGAAGTTGAAGTCAAACAAGTTGTTTGCCTAATATATATACATAGGATAATTGTTGGTTGTAATATATATATATATATATATATATATATATATATATATATATATATATTTGAGATTATGTGAGACCAAAATTTTTTCATGAGACCCGTAAGACCAATTTTCAGTTATTGGATTAGATCTACAATTTGAACATTCATAATCACAAAATTGCCACGAGACTTCTCAGTAATCACAAAATTGCCACCATGCAACTTTAGACCATTAGATCATTAGCTTATAAAGTTGATCAATGAAGATAAATTGGTCTTACGGGTCTCACGAAAAACCATTGTTCTCACGCGAACTTAACCCTATATATATGTATGTATGTATATATATTAGCCTTTAACCTTCATGAGTCTGTTCCAAAACTCGAAGAGTTAAGTCCATCTTTAACTGCATCGCGAATGCCCGTATCTGTCAATCTTAATTCTTAGAGAAATATTTAATATTCAATTGAGATAACTAGGGTTGTACATATGTTGGGTTAGCTGAGTTGAAGACGTTTGAACAACAAATCGTCAAATCCAATGTTTGCGGTTTGAAAAAAACGCAAACCATGCCAGTTGGACGGGTTGATCAAAATGAGAATTGTAACACCCTAAAAGCCCAAAGCAATGGTCTGACCCAATAACTTCGAATCCAACTTAAAACAATGGTGGAAGTTATTGGTAGCCTACTACTTGGTGGGATTTATAAAGAGCTAACAATTCTCATTTTTTATTCATGTTGGACGAGTTGTTACACCTCAAAGCACAAAGCAACGAATTGATCCAATAACTTTGAATCCAACTTTTAAAACCATGGTGAAAGTTATTGGTAGCCCACTGCTTAAAACTTATAAGGAGCTAACAATTCTTACTTTCTATCCATGTGAGACGAGTTGTTACAAACTACCCCACTTAAACTCTTGGTCTCCTCGTCAGGCCTACTAAGAATCTTCCTCTTTGTCACCGGCAATGTGAAATTTGCCTAAGATGTTACAAACACTCTCGCTCAAGGACTAATCATACCCGATGATACAAGGATCGATTATGATACCATTTGTAACACCCAAAAGCCTACAGCAACGACTGACCCAATAACTCCGAATCCAACTTAAAACCATGATGAAAATTATTGGTAACCCATTACTTTGGACTTATAAGGAGTTAACAATTCTCACTTTCTATCCATGTGAAACGAGTTGTTATAAGAACCTACAAAAAAGACTAACAAACTCAAAATAAAAAAATAAAGGTTTATGCAAATAAAAAAAATAAAATTACAGTTGAAATTGTAATATAATTTTGAATATAGTTAATTACGGGTTGGTCTAATATCTAATGTACATATATTAATCAAAAATTTAATAATCATATTAAATTCATAGTATAGAAAAACAACATGCTCATCAGATTGGGTTAAAATCACCCCAACCCAATTTGAACCATGGACAGACCCATAGAAGGGCAAACGGTGGCACGTTCCACCATATTATCTTCCTGCCGAAAGGTTAAAAAATTTATTTTTATTAAAGGTGCAATCGTATCGTTTTAGAATGTGTCATCGTATGATATTCAAAAGTCTAAGAAGGTGCAACCGTATCTCGTAA